TATATGTATATATTTATAACATATGCATATAATACTATATAGTGATTATATGTACTATATAATGATTATATGTTACATATAAAACATGTGTAATATATTATACATATATAAAATATGCACGTATAATAATACATTATCATTATATAGTATATAAAATATATACATATATAATGTATAATATATATTTATAATAATATATAACATATATATCTCCTTACCTATGTTTCTTCATCTTAAAACACATGGCTTAGTCCTTATAATTAATGTCTTATTCAGGCTAGGTAAATTCAGAGGTGGCTTTATATAGGGTTTTAATATGTAGGAGAAAAGAGAAGTTTATGGAAGTGTCAGTACAGTTCCCACTTGAGCAACAGCTTATCTGTGTGTTTGAAGAATGAAATTGAATTGACCAAGTGTCCCTCAGTCACTGAAAACTTTAAGGATCTAATATTTTTTAACAGCTCAGCAAAGACCCAAATATTGTCATAGCCAAGATGGATGCCACAGCCAATGATGTGCCTTCTCCATATGAAGTCAGAGGGTAAGTATATTAAAAATAATTAACCGTATCTAGGCAATTGATAGGAAAAAAGTAAGAAACCACTTATTTAGTGGACTTGGTTTTGGTTTTGGTTTTGGTTTTGACAGAGGGCATGGGCATCTGCTGGAAAGAGTTGGTTGGGGCAGGTGGAGGGGGAAGGGTATGGTCATGGTGCAATCCCTTCCCTGTTTCTCCCTCCTTTTGGGATTTTGGGCAGTCATGCACATGTTTTATAAGCCACCAGGTCTAGGATTTGTAGCACATAGTCAGCCATGTGGGATCTGCCTTAACCACCACTCCATGAGCTGGCCCAGAGGACATGATATGTAGGGTCCATGTTCCAGTTGAAGACAGAGCCACTAATTCCTTCTTGGTTTAGAGTTCTACAGTATGAGCCCAAAGACCAAAATGTGATCTCTCATATTCCTGAGTTTTGATAAGATATAACTACAGGTAGAGAATGGTAACTGTTCAGAATGGAAACCATGAAGAAAAGTTTTTTCCAAAAATGGTTTTTTGGGAAAGTATCTGTACTCTGAATCTGAAATAAGTAAACTTTTTTTTCTTTTCTCAGTTTTCCTACCATCTACTTTTCTCCAGCCAACAAGAAGCAAAATCCAAAGAAATATGAAGTAAGTGCATTGTTTCATGTCCCCACAAGTACACACACATACACATATTCAGTCCTTTCATTGGGTTTATTTAACTGGAAATCTTTCACCTCTCGTGGTTAACATAAGTGGTTGTAAATATGCTTTTACAGATTCAGAAGTCTTTCTATTGGAGGGTTCTTTACAAAGTTAAATTTTCAGAGCAATCTTTCTGTTTTCAGGGTGGCCGTGAATTAAGTGATTTTATTAGCTATCTACAGCGAGAAGCTACAAACCCTCCTATAATTCAAGAAGAAAAACCCAAGAAGAAGAAGAAGGCCCAGGAAGATCTCTAAAACAGCAGCCAAACACCACTTTGTAAAAGGACTCTTCCACCAGAGACGGGAATACATTGGGGAAGACTGGGACCCATATGGAATTATTACCTCCTAGGGCTGAGAGGACAGAAAGGATATAATCTGAATCCTGTTAAATTTTCTCTAAACTGTTTCTTAACTGCACTGTTTATGGAAATACCAGGACCAGTTTATGTTTGTGGTTTTGGGAAAAATTATTTGTGTTGGGAATGTTGGGGTGGGGGGAATTGAGTTGGGGGTTATTTTCTAATTTTTTTTGTACATTTGGAACAGTGACAATAAATGAGCCCCCTTTAAACAGTCCTTTTTTTCCACACAGGATGGAGGATCAAATGTTCTTTAGGCTTATCACTATCTCTGCTCAATATAGGTTTCCTAGGGACCAGCAGGTGGCTTAGTGGTTAAGGCACTGGACACCCCATGGCCAACTGTGGTTTCAGTCCCAGACCTGGAGGCTTAAAACTCACACCAGGCATGTGTGCATGCATGCCCAAAATCCCAAGAGGAGAATGAAGGGAAGAGATTGCGTCTGGCCATTCCCTCCTCCTCTCTCCCTGTCTCTATGGCAAGCACACATGCCCTCTAGCAAAAAAAAGGAGGAGAAAAAAAAAAGGATTATTGGGACTGATAGGTGGTGTGGTGGTTAAGGGTGCTGGACTCCCACATAGTCGCCTGCAGTTCAAATCCTGGACCTGGTAGCTTGTTTTCTCCCTCTCTCTCTTTTTCCCTGTCTGGTCAAATCAAAATAAATAAATAAATAAAGTTAAATAAAATAATTCTAAAGAATTTTTAAGAAAGAATTATTGGGACCAGCAGTTAGCATAATGGCTATGTCACTGGACTCCCATGTAGTCGACCATGGTTTGAGTTCCGGCCCCAGTGGCTGCATGCCCAAGATCCCAAGAGGAGAATGGAGGAGAAGGGATTGCATAGTGGCCATCCCCCTGGGGGGTGAGTTCTCGCTTTCTGTCTCTCTGTCTCTCTCTGTCTTTCTGGTGAGTCCACATGCCCTATAGCAAAAACCTCTCAAAAAATATATATATATTTTTATTCAACTTCCTTTCTTTCTCTTCTTTCCTTTCTGTTCCTTCTTGCCTGCCTTCCTTCCTTCTTCTTACCCTTTCTCCCTCCCTCCCTCCCTCTCTTTCTTTCTATTTGACCAGAGAGGGATTGAGGGGGTGGTGAGAAAGCATGCCACCAGGTCCAGAACTCAAACCACGTCAGACATGTAGGAGTCCAGCACCCTTAACCACTACACCACCTGATGGGTCCTATATAATTTTTTAAATTATTTATTTAATTGTATTATTTTAATTTGACCAGAGAGAGACAGGTAGCAAGAAGTAAATTTCTATGCAGTGATAAAAATGCTCTATACTCTGCCCTGTCCAATAGATGAAGCTATGGAGCATCTGAAATGGGTAGGAACTGAATTTTAAACTTTCATTAATTTGAGTGGTTTTGTTGTTTTTATTTGTTTTTGTTTTTCTGCCATGGGTACGTAAGCTTGACAGAAAAAGTGAGAAATCACCCCCCAAGGGGAATGACCACACACACCATAATCCCTTCATTCTCTTCTCAGGATTTTGGGCATACACGCACATGAGCCCAGTGTGATTTTCTAGCTGCATGACTCAAACCACAGTCAACCATGTGGAAGTCTAGTGCCTTAACCACCATGCCACCTGCTTGCCCCAAACTTTCATTAATTTAAATAGCCACATACTGGCCACCATGCTAGTAGTCACTGACTGTAGACTGGGTAACTAGATTTATAGTTATCATTTCTAAATCCTTCTCTCTTTTTTCTTTCTTTTTTAATTTGCCAGAGAGCACATGCATTCACCAGAAATAAAGTGAGAAAGCACTCCCCACCATGGCAGGTGGTCATGCTGCAATTTCTTCATTTTGCCCTCTCCAGATTTTGGACACACATATGCACACATGCCAGCTTGATTTTCAAGCTGCCAGGTCTGGGACTTGAACTGTGCAGCCAGCCATGTGGGATCTAGCAGCCTTAACCACAATACCCCTGATTGGGTTATTTCTCCTCTCTTTTTATCCTTATTGCCCAAGCCCCTAGCCTGGTGCTTAGAACAGGTGAGGGGCCTTTATTTGTCAGGCTGTTTCTGGCCCTGCCCATGCCCGAAGGATGGGTTGCTGTTTATCCTTGCCATGCAGCTGAGGTTACTGCATGTCTATACCTCCCAACAACTATTCTCTGCTCAGAATGCTCTGCCTGGGTGTGGCTTAGGTTGGGGTTCCATCCAAGTTGTTCTGGGAATTGCTGACGCTGCTAGGTACGGAGCTCTTGCCCCCAAAGCCTAGGGTGTGGCTCATTAACTTCCCTCCCCAGTGGAACAGGGAAAGGCAGCATCATTCCTGGTTATGACTGAAACATCTGCTTTCTTCTGCAACAATGAGGAATGAAAAACATAGACCTAGAGTGATTACTTTTTATTCAAATGAACTGAGCCATTTCCTTTTTTGTGGGTAAATCCAAATTCTGTCCACTGCCACTGGATAATTTTAAATAGGAGCCCTAGGGGCTGGCAGGTGGCGTGGTGGTTAAGGATGCTGGACTCCTACGTGGCCTACCACGGTTCGCATCCTAGACCAGGTGGCTTGCTTTCTCACTTTCTCTCTCTCTCACTTTGTCCCTCTCTAGTCAAATTAAAAATAAATAAAACATTAGAGAAAATAATTCTTTAAAAAAAAAAAAAGGAGCCCTAATTTTAAGTGATCCTACAAACTCTGTGTTCAGGAAAGAACTTTTCCTACTATAATCTCTAGTTGTGAATTATAAGATGTATTTGTCTTACAGCAAAATGAACATCAGGGTCCTGCATAGTGCTTTTAAAAAGTGAAGATGGGGCCTGGCAGGTGGTATGATGGTTGGGGCGCTGGACTCCCACATGGCTGACCACTGTTTGAGTCCCAGACCTGGAGGCTTGGTTTTCCTAACTCAAATTTAAATAGCCACATACTGGCTACTGTGCTAGTAGTCACTGTACCTTTCTTTCTCTCTCCCTGGTCAAATTAAATAAATGATGATGATGATAAATCTAGTAAAAAGAAAAAAAGTGAAGGTGTCTTGAGCTGGCTCCATGTGCACGGGTTAAGCCCTGTGCTAGGGAGCTGGATCCCACACGACCTGCAGTGTTTCAGATTCTGGCCCCTGCGGCTTTGTAAACGCACCTGGCACTTGTCGGTGTGTCCCAAATCCTGACAGGATGGAGAAATGGAAGAAAAAAGATTGTGACATGACCATGCCCCATTGGAATATCTCTCCCTCCGGTGAGAACACGTGCCTTGTAGCAATTTTTTTAAATGTGAAGATTTCTTAGACCATTTTCTTTGAAATTCTAATTTGTAACACACAGGCTGGGGCCTAGGGATCTAATTTTTTAAGGAACTCCAGAAGTAGTTCATATGGATAGCCAGAAGTAATAAGCTCTTCTTTAGAGGATTTAAAGAAAACATGTAAATAGATACAAAAGACACAAACAGTCGGTTTTTAATTTTTAGCCATGTTTGTAAAAGAATTCACAATCAGTACACAGGTGACGTTCGAGCCCTTTCTCATCATACCAAGGGATGCTACACATGCTTTAGTTCAGTGATCAAAAGTCCTCACTGTTTCCGTAGGGAAGCTACCAGTGGCTACATTTATTTACTTGGTTTGTCTAATGTCCACAAGTTATATTGTCCTGGAAATTAGGTCATGTCTCAGGATCAAAAAAATGACTTGACCGAACTAAAGGTAAAGGAGTCAAGCTTCTGCTAGACTCTCCCTAGCCTCCTGGACACAGTTGTGAAGTCTTGGCTCTGTGCCTAAGCCCTAAAAGTTAAAATAAGACAATAATGAAAATCAAACCTCAAGAACCTAGAGCAGCTCCCGACTAGCCACCGCGACCTCAGCTGGCCAGCATACAAAAATCAGATTGTCACACTCTAGTTAGTTTATAGCTGCTTCATTCCTTCATATCGCACTGGACAGAAGGTCTAGGGCTCTCCTGACAGCTTCAGCTCTCCCTGTTCTTTTCCTCAAACTCCAGGATGAGACCTTTAATGTGGGACAATTTCTGATGCAGGTACTCACAGCGACGCTTTTCATCCCTGTAACCTGGGTACCGCTGCAGAGAAAAGAGTATCAAGTCAAAAGCTGAAGTCCTCATGTTTACCTTCTTCTGTTCCCAGTCCTTGTCTTACCTTCCTGAACTTTTTATATTCCTGGACTATCTTGTCTTCCAGCACCTGAAACAAAATACTAGCACTGAGTTCAAAACTAAGGAACTCCCCTTCTCATTCTTCTACATAGTACTAATTTTTCTCTTGAAAGAGTTTGCATGTCACTTTTGTTAGTCACAGCAAACACAGACTTAGTGTAGTTAGTTAGCATGGGGTTAGGGGTCAGGATAGCTGGAGAGCCAGCCTGGGTCCCAAGCTTTCCTTACCTTGTGTTCTGGAGTTCCTCGCTGAACTCGCTTGATTTCTGTTCCCAGCTCTGTGAACCTTTGGCTGGCAGCCCCAATGCGGGCATGTAGGATGCGGTATTCAGCATAATCCGTCTCAAAGTCCTGCTCATAAGCGTGTTGCTGCTCTACACTGTGGATGGCTCTGTATTGCCTGCCAGGAGCAGAGAACTGTCACCTCCCAGTTTCATTGCCCACAAATCTCCCAGCTCCTGGAATTTTTATTATTGTTTGGTATAGGCACGTGTGCTCACCAGAGAGGGGATAAGAGAGGGAAAGTGAGAAAGCAAGTCCCCAGGTCCAGGACTTGAACTGTGGTCAGCCATGTGGGAGTCTAGCACCCCATCCACCACACCACCTGC